AAACCTCATGGCGCGAGGAGTGAGGGGCATTTCAGAACAGCGAATTATTTGGAACTAAGAGCTGTGTAGCCAGCGCCAAATTACAAAATAAGCTATTTCAAAATTGACTCAAAATAAGCTACACAATTGCATCGCTTATTCTGAGCTATGGGATGCAACCGTAGTGAGATAGACCCCAGCTCTGCCCCCAGCTCCTCTCCCAGCTCCCTGCCCCACCCACCGTCATGCTGACTCCCACACTACCATGGGGCTGTTTGCATTGGCTCTTCTCTCTGGAACCAGGTTTAAGCCATGGCAGGGGGCTGGGTATAGGGGAATCTGAGTGTGGGAGGGGGAGTGTGCGTTCTTCTGGCTCAGCTTTTCCCTTTCTTCTACCCCAGGAATTGCCCTGTTGGAAAGCAAACAGAGGCGATAAAGGAAGGGTGGTGTTGAGATGAGTTGGGGGGCTTTGTGAAGCAATAGAAAGCATGTTGGACTTTTAAGCTGTAGTGCTCAGTGTGAGCCAGGCCAGTCATTTAAAGGTTGTGGGTTAAAATCCCTCCAGAGTCACTTTAGCTGATCTCTGATTTCCAGCCTGGCTTTTACAGAACAGGCTGGACCTGCGCCTGTTGCGTGATGGGAGTGACAGGGAGCTTGTGATCCCAAGACCTCTGTGTGAGACTCCCCTGGGGGGGGTCACAGCTCACAGGAGAGAGCCCCTTCTCTCCCCTGGCCACCCATAGAACTGCTGGTTCAGGAAAAGGCTGATTTGGGAGGAGTGTTGGAAAGAAGTTATTTTCCATGGCGGGGGCTCAGTGGCCCCTCTCTCTTCCTACCTGCTCTCCCAAAAGAGACAGACCTGGCTCCCCTTTCTTTTCCCCCAGCAATTGCCAGGCTGCAAAGCAGAGAGTGAAGATATCAACACCCCCCATCCCTAATCCGTCAAGCTCTGTGGTGCAATGGAAAGCCTGTTGGACTTCTAAGCTGCTATGGCTAATATGAGCCCTGCTAGACATTCAAAGGCGGTGGGTTCAAGTCCCACCAGAGTCACTTTAGCTGCTTTCTCTTTTTCAGGGTACCTTTTACAGAACAGGCAATCCTTAGGCTGACACAGGGGTGGGCGTGAGTGCAGACAGTTCCCAGCAGCAGGGCCGGCCCCTGTAGGGAACCGCGGTCGTGGGAGGAGGGCATTGCTGGCCCGCAGGGATGTGGGCAGGCTGGGGCTGCGGGAGCCAGGCACACAACACCTGATGGCAGCTGTAAGGGATGCCACACGCCCCTTACATCTGCCATCAGGCGCCCCCATTGGTTGGAGCTCTTGGCAGCTTCCCAGCTCGCCCATGCCTCCCTCTGGCCCTGCCCAGCAGACCCCAGTGAGGGTGGAGGGAAGGGCTGGTCCTTGGGGTGGTTCTGAAAGGCTGCAGGTGCTGTTAGACCATTTTGTCCCTCCCTGTCTCCTACTAGTGCTGAGCAACACTCAGGCTGTGTCTACACTGCACTGCTCTTCTGGAAAAAGCTACACAAATTTTGAAACCCCAATTTCTGTAGCTTTTCCAACATTTGGCCTGGGTGCAGTGGGCAAGTCACACAAGGGAAGCAGCAGGCAGAAACAGCCCAATGCACCAGCCTCCCAGGGCAGGCAAGGCCAAGCAGCTGCCTGGCCTGATTCCTCTCATTTCCCCAGGCTGGCACCAAGGGGCATTCTCAGTTCATGTCACTCCCCTCTGTCATATGGGATTTGAGGTCATCCCAGAAAGAGGCTGGTCAGTAGCAGCTGCACTTACCTGGGAGCAGCAATGGGAGACATAGCTCTTGTGTTTCTGTCTGGCTTTAAACCAGGGACCTTTTGGGTGTTAGGCAAATGTGATAACCACTACACCACAGAAGCACTCTATAATGATAGAGCTTGGCTGACTGTTCTGTTTCCAGCTCTATCTAACACCCTACTCTGCAGGGGAGGGGATGCACCTTGTGAACACTCCACCTCTTGTTCTCAGGGAAGCCACTAACCCGAGCTGCCAGCTCCTCATTTCCTCACCAGCCCCTTGAGATTTGTAGCTCAAAGCTGGAGCTGCTGTGGCAGGAGGTGAAGCTACAGAAGCTGACAGGGGACAATCAGCAGGCGGAGGGTTATTTTTTCTCCCCCCTGGGCTGATGTGGCTAGAACTGAGGAGAAGAAAATCCTCTTCCCTTCTCCTCAGAAGATGGAAATTACAGTTGGGTCTCTCTGTGGTTCTACTAAAGCTGGACCAAGGAGCAGCCCTAGGTGGGCTGCAGCAGCTGGTGTCCCAGGCGAAATGCAGTATCAGCAGCCCCCACCCACCCACACACACACAGCCATCAATGAGGTGACATCATCATCAGGCACCCCATGATGTCAGCCTATAGCCACAGGCTGCCCCTGGCTGAACTCCATGACTAGACTTTTTCTTTCTAAAACCCTGGTGAAAGCTGAAAGGCTTTTGGATTGTGAGTTAACAAAGGGCATGGTCCTTGAACCCACGACCCTGAGATTAAAACTCTCATGCTCTACCAACTGAGCTAGCCAGGCTACATGGTGCATTGCTCTCCATTACAGGGCCAGCTCTCCTGTGACAGGCGAAGGGGCTGGTTTCAGGATTTCTTTAGTGCAGCAGCAAGGGGCAATGGAGGAAAGTCAACCCTCTTTTCAAGCCTTGTTCTCATGGCACCAAATGTGCTGCAGAGAAAGCCCTTGGCTGTGTCTAGACTGGCCCAGGGAGGAAGAGGGAGGGGTCTCGGGATGCTCAGAGCCCCCTGACTCTGCCTGTGAGAAGAAGGAAGAAGAACACCACAGACACTGAGGAATGTGGCTATTGGTCCCACTGCCTCTCACGTGCTAAGTGAGGGCTCTGCCACCGGAGCTAATTCCCCTGGCTGTGAGCAGTTTCCTGCCCCACCCACCACGGGTGGGCTACACGGGGCCAAATATCGGAAAAATCTCTTCCTCAAAAAGGATCAGCAGATTTGCATTTCTGAGGGAGGGAATGCTGGGCGGAGCACAGTCTAGATGTAGTCTAGACTCATGGGCGAAGGGACAGCGTTTCATGTAATAATGACGGGTGCAGAAAGCAAGAAGAATTTTTTTCTCCAACTCAAGATCCCGGATGACAGAATGAAACTGGTAAGTAGCCAAATTAAAAATAAACAAAAAAGAACCATTTTTGCGCCCAGTGGAACTCCTTGCTAGAGGATGTTGAGAAGGTGAAATCTACAGGAAGGTCCAAAACAGAACTTGATAATTTAATGCAGGAAAGGTCAATCAATGGCATTTAACCAGGATGGACAGGGAAGGTCTCTCTAGCTGGTGTATTCTAGAAGCTAGGAATGGGCGACAGAAGGGATCACTTAACCATTGTCTGTCCTGTGGATTCCCACTGGGCAATGAAATCAGCTGCTGTCGTGAGACAGGATCCTGGGCTAGTTGGGCAACTGGCATGGCCCAGTCTGGCTATTCTGATGTTCTGTTTGGTTTCTGTTCTTGTCCCTTCTGGGCAATGGAAAATGGACCCATGTCCTGAAGGGGACAGAAAGTGGCCTGTGAAAGGCTAGTTTAGGTAAGGAAAGAGCCTTTCTTATGTGTCCCTGATGGTCTAGTGGTTAGGATTCAACACTTTCACTACTGAGGCCTGGGTTCAATTCCCTGTCAGGGAAACCAGCCTCATCTCTATTAATGATATCTGCCAAGTTGTTGCCCTTTTCCATCACAGGGAGGGCCAGTGGGTTGAGGGAGGGGAGGGGCTGGGGTGCCAGAGACCCTCCCAGCAGCCAAGCACATTTCTCAGGCAGCTCCTTCCCTGTGCAGGCAGCATAGGTCATGCTCCTGGGTGAATAAGAGCTTGTGTGGACTGGCCAGGGCTTTAAGCAGGCAGCTCCCATTAGCCACAAACAAGCTTGGACCAGGCCTGAAGCCTTTTCCTCTACAGCTGTGAGACACAAAGGGCCCAGCAGCCCCTTCTCTCAGCTGTGCGTGGGGGCAGGG